CTTATATAGAAAGGAAAATGGAAAATTGCGAGGAAATTACATTCTATCATATATATATATATATATATATATATATTAATTGTAACTATTTAATAAATAGTAAAAAAATTAAATTTTTCTTTGTTGACCTAAGTAGGAATTGCCTTAATATATATATATATATATATATATATATATATATATATATATATATATATATATATATATTGTTCTTTTAAAAATGAACGGTTTTCATCTGTTCCTTTGTCTCTCCAAACGTTTTCTTCGAAATTAATCATATATATTGTAACTTAAAGTTTATTACACTACGCTTAAGCTGTACAACATTTAATCGACTTAAGAAATTTTTTTATATTACTTGTTATACGTACATTTGCTTTGGGATTTAAGGTATCCGACTACGATCGGAACAGTGATTTTGCAAAAGCGCATAAATGGATAATTTTCATGATATTTAGTGCCTCATAGATTAGAATAAATGTATACAATTGTTTTAAGGACATTCTGACAAAAAAATTATTTAAATGCAATATTTTGGCAAAAAGTTAACTTAGAATAATTTTTTTTCAAAATGTTCTCCTTTTGTGAAAAACGTTTGTATTATAATAATATTTTGCCTGTGTATAGCTCAGACCTCTATACAGAGGTTCAACCGGAATTTTTGAAATACATAACTTAGAAGTGGGTCTATCCATATTTTACGACAACAGAGGGGAGCAATTTAAAAAAAAAACGCCTATAATTGTTTCAATTGGTTGTAACTCTGAAAATAATGAGAATTTTTCAAAAAAATCGTAGTTGAACCTCTGTAAAGAGGTCTGAGCGGTATACAAGCAAAATATTATTATAATAGAAGCATTTTTCACAAAAGGAGAACATTTTGAAAAAAGTTTATTCTAAGTTAATTTTTTGCCAAAATATTGTATTTAAATATTTTTTTTTGTCAAAATGTCCTTGAAATTTATCAATTTATGTGCTTTTTTAAAATCATGGTTCCGAACGTAGTCGAATACCTTAATTTCATGAAAAATAATGATATCCTTCATCGGGAATGAGAAACAAAACGGAATACGTTAGAACTGTGATGCTTACCCACTGTGTGGCAATTTTCTTTTAATTATTAATTATACTCTGAGGAAAAAAAATAAAATCTGGAACCTAATTATTCGACCGTGTTATAGAAATGAACTAAATGTATTTGTGGTATATTTTACTTATGCTTTCGTGGATAGACGCAAGTCTATTATTCATAAGTAAAATTTATTTAACTTATTTAATTGTTAGTGTACTGCCAAATCTTGAAATTTTTAAAAATGTACCACAACAACAACAAAATAAAGGTTGAGAATCACTGTTAGTACAAAAATGTTAGTGCCTTTCTTTAACTTATTCAATTCTATGTAAGATATTGATTGTTTTCAAATGACTAAAGTGAGAGGCGATATAACTTATTACCATTTATACAAAAGAAATAGTTTTGAACATGCATTAGAATTCATTTAAATTTTAAGCTTTTCTTTCATCACTCCTCAATTTTACCCCTTTTCTGATTTCCAGACCTATTAAAATCGGAAATTCTTACAAATTGCAAATGTTTGCACTTGTCTATGGAATTAAATTGTTTAGTTATTTTTGAAAGATGTTTTTTACGTAATCACACATAATTTTTTTTAAGAAAAACGCTGAAGAGCATCTTAAAATAATCTCCTTTTTCAGACTTATATTCTGGAAAAACTATTTATGCTGATTCATAGACAAGAGAAAACAAGTCTCTGTGTAATTGATTAAGTCTTATTGTTGTATTAGTATTTATTTTCATCTTATTATATGTGAAACTAAAATTTGAGCTCGATTAATTTATAAATATCTTTATATAAACCACATTTTTTTGCTACTTCCTTACAAAAATGTAATATAATTTGCTTAAAACGAATGGGTAGTATTTAATGTAGCTGGACTATATCCCTCATATTTAATTTCGCTTATATTAATTGAAGAGTTGATTGAATTAATAATTTTAGCGGTAGTAACAAAAGAAATTTAAAAAATACGCAGCTTTTTGTATTTTTGGAAGACACTTAAAGATATATGGAATGTAATTCGCGTTTTTATCAATATTTTTATAATGGTAAAAACTTTAAAACATACAATTGTATTAAATACGTGAGACCACAAAAGTCAAATTTCTATTAAATCAGGTCCCAATTTCGAAAAGAGACCAGATCTGTGATAAAAAAATCCTTTGAAAAAGGCAAAGCAATGCAAGGCATCGTGAAAATCAAATTTAAATATGTAGAGAGAACTTAGAATCTAAAACTGTAAGACATTCTAAAAAGATACAGGAAACATAATGTAAAACACACAAAAGTGTTAAAAATATATCAATAAAAAAACTTAAAAAAGCATCAAAAAGAGCTGATAGGGAAAAATCAGGATAGTCAAGATAGGAGCTACACCTGATTTTGCGTGAACGATATTCAGAAAAAAAAGCATCAAGAACAAGACTTTTATTAGAAAATCAAATATTTTATTTCAGTTTCCGCATAAAAGCCAAAGTTTACATATCCACGTGTATAACTAGTATTCAAAACGCAGTCGTCCATAATATTTTATTGAAAATAATGACAGAAAATATTTTTTTGCCATGGAATAATCAGAAAGAAAAAGAAAATTAATTGAAATTAAATATGAAATATCTAAAATATACAAAACGATTCCACATGCACTTTTTAAAAACCATTCCATTCAAATCACTTATTAACAAAATCTAAAAACACTTTTTTATTATTATTTTTCTTTGAAAAATATATGTTAAATGAAAGCATGCAAACATTTTTTTCTTTTGAAATTGTGTAAGTGGTACACTCTTAAAAATATCGTTATAGTAACGTTTTTGAAGTAAAAACAATAAATAAATAAAAAATAAAAATAACACATTTTCTTCTTTTATTAAATTTAAAAAACTTTACCAAAAAAAGGTAATTAAAACTTAAGGTCTCAAAAAACTACTTTTTTAATGTATTGTTTGTGTGTTACGGATTATCAATTTAGAAAAGTTACTTATACAGAACACAATAATTTACAGTTATAATTTAATTGATCTAATTATTATAATTCTCAAAAATTAAATTGCACAAATAAAACAAAATTGTGAATTTTTTTTTTTCAAAATTTTGTAGAAAGTATTTTTAGAAAGTATCTAAGGAATGTAATTTAATCTGAAAATGAGCATCACGTAGCAGTGTGTTAAAAATAAAACTCAGAACCTAAAAATTATGCATTGATTAAAAATAATAATATTATCAAGAAGAAAAAGGTTCAATTAAGCGTGTGTGGTTAGAAAATTTTTAAACACATATTAACAACAGGGGAAAACCACCAAATGATGCTCACATGAAATTTAAAAATACGAATACTAAAAAATATTTTAAAAAAGAGACTACAAATTTCTTGTTGCAATTAATTAATATTAGTTAAAGCGCTCAAAATTAAAATAAATGTTCAGTAGTTTAATTATTTGCCTTACAGTATATACCTCCTTGACTATTAATTAATTAGTGAAATTATTCAATTGCGCAAGTAATAGAAGGGCATTTTCATGTGCGGAATTAAATAACATACAATCTTAATTAGTGAGTGAATCGTCGTTAATATAAAGTAAAAAGAAATAATCTGTAAAATAATATTCTGGCTTTTCTTTTGAGAAATATATTCTCTTTCGAAAGCACATTTTATATTATAAAAAAATGTAACATATAAATTTCTATAAAAAAGAATATTATACAAATTTCTATATTAAATTAATTCACAGAAATTAAAATCACAAAGTACTTTTAAATAGCTTTAAAGCGCAATATCTTTCATTTTCTAATACATAATTCATCTTTATATTAATTACAATTTATCTCTTAATCTATCGCTAATGGTTTTATTCCTTAAAAATCTGTAGTCTCCATTAAGTTCAGTATTTCACACTTCCGTAATTCATATCGTTTTAGTAAAAATTTTATTCAATTTATAAAAGAGGGATGGAAAACTACGAGAAAACATCAAAAACGAAAATCCTGCTAAGTGTACAGAAAGAAAATTAATTAAAAAAACTTCCAGCATTTGCGTATAAATTCAATTTTGCACCATCGTATTTTAAGGTAATCTATTCAAATCCCCTTGTTTTTGAATTCGAAACAATCCAATCTAAATGTAATTATCCTATCTCACAATATATTAAAACTATGTAATAATCTTAAATTTTCATATTAGGCACGTTTAAAGGAAAATTATTCCGCTTAAAGAGTTTTCGAGCAAATCCTTAAAAGAAATGATCGACAATATCTGTCTATTAAATTAATAGTTTTATTTTTCCTCTTACTTTTAAATATACGTGCTATTTTCTTCGTCAAAAACAGAAAATTTTCAAAAAAGAAAAATAGATCAAGTATCTCCAATGCTATTTATTTTATAAATGGAAATGCTTTCACCATGTACTGAAGTAACGTATCGTCAATTAAATTTAAAATTGAAAGTGTTATCGCGAACATACCGGAGATTATAAGACAGGCAGATTTCATGAAAGAGATATTATTCAAGATTTGCTACTGACGATGAATTTCCTGGCAGATGTATTGCGCGAAAGCTTTCTTCAAAATTTAGAAAACCTAATTAATTTATGAGTGAAATGGATATATGTAATTTGATGCTAAAAACATGTAATATAAAAAAAATTAAAGTCAATTTCTACTTAAATCAACAAAGAAATTTTTTTATTTTAATTACTTTGTATTAAATAATTTCAATTAATATAAATATGTATATATACATATGACAAAATCACAACATTAAGTGGCAAAATAAAAGGAGATTTTCCATGCACTTTTCCATTTTCCTTTCTATATAGGGTGCTGGACTATTATTTTTGTTTGTCACTATTTATTCATTAATTAAATTTAATTATTCCAATAAAATAGTATAATAAAAAGCAATCACATTCTCAGAAATTAAGCCATCTCAAGTGGGATTCGAATCCACGACATTTGGAATAAAAGTCCAACGCGCTACCTATTGCGTTATAGGGACACAAGTGCTTTTCATTTTTATGCATGGTGCTGAAATATTATTTTTATTTGTTACGAATTATTCATTAATTAATGAATTAATATTTGAAAAACTGTATTAGCATCAAGTTTTAAAAATATATTTAACTTGAGTGATTGAATAAAAAGTATTTTATTAGCGATTGAAAATTTGAACACTATATGTATATATATATATATATAAAAGGAGGAACATGAACTAATAGTAAGAATCGAATAACATTAAAAATATAAGTTAATTTGCTCTATTAAAAAGTATATTTTTTTCGAAAAAGTAATTGCAAACGGGGGAAAAAATTACTATTGAAGCAGAAACACGTGAACAAAAATATAGTTATTTTAAAATTATATCACTAAATTTCATTTATTTTGAAGGGGAAAAAATGGGGAGGGGGCTCGAATTGAAATAGAAAAGGGAATTTTCAAATCTTTCGATGACATGCATTTCGATTCTACAGACTCAACCTTTTTGAAGAATTTTTCAAATTAGTTTAGATGTCTTCAAATTTTTAGGAAATTCTATGAAAAAAGAAGGGAAAAAAGCAGCCCTCAACAGTTTAAAACAGATTACATTTCATCAAAGTGAAAAATAAAAAATTCTTTTTTTTTTACGTATGAGATGAAACGTAACAATTTTGTAATACATTTTTTTCTTTTTCCTTTTTAAATTTCCGAGATTTAAAAGAAAGTTTTTTTTTTTTTTCCCTTCTAAAAGTTAAATTAGTTTTAAACGAAGTTAATATACTTTATACCATTGATTTCAATAGATTCTAATTTTTCCCTTTTCTTCTAATCATTTCTTAATGTTCTTTGACTTTATAAGTATTTAACAGGACAAACTTACTTATTAAAAAAATATGTTAAATATGATTATCAAATAAATTTAAAGATGGGGGGGTACATAAGGTTTCATTTAACCATCTTATTCTGGAATTCTGTTAAATTTTCACATATTTACTTCTTTAAAAATTAATTCGATTATTTTTTAACTATTTGCTGACATTTTTAAGGGACATATAATATTTGTTTTATTTTTAAAATTTCAAGAAACTAAATTTAATATTACTAAGCACTACTTGTTGAATCTTTTTACTTATAATCACTGCTGTTCTTTAAATTTTCATAAAACTAGGATTAACAATGCATGATAGAAAATATAATTGTATTGTAATGGTGTCTTAAGAAACATGCTTTTTTAACGGGGAAGATGGGGTTCCAGAGCTTATAGATGTCATCCTCGTCACTTGCGGAGGTTCAAATCTGCGAGTTCCGTAGCCAGTAAACCTCGCTTAGCTTCAAAAAGCGAGGTCAAAAATAATTATTAACCAATCCATAAATAAATCAAAGAATTTTTTAAAAAATTTCTTTTTTCAAATAAAGGATTAGTAAATTTAGTACTTATATTTATCTAATATTTGTTTAAACTTTAATTACAGAATAATTCTTAAGAGACATCAGTAACTGTTGCTGATTTATCCAAAGGCATACGTTTTATAAAGTTTTGTATTGTAAAATTTAAAATTTTGCCTTAAAAGCATATATACCGTATCAAAAAATAAGTTTCTCGTCAAAAGTATTTTAATCCGAGATTTAATTTTTCCCCTCAACATAAATGCATTATTCTTTCTCTTTTATGTATATGAATTTTTCAAATACATTTCAAGAATAATATACATAACTTTATAAGTGGTTAGATAAATCAAAAGACACAGACGTTAATATTTTTTAAAAAAATCCAAACATTGAAAATTGAATGAAAATGTACAAACCTATTCAAACTATAGTGTTACGAAAATATAATTTTCCTGCTTTTTTATATGAATACGATCTCTGCATATATAAGAAGCAAAAATGTTAAGTTCGGAAATTTTTTTAAAAATTGTAAAATTATAAGATTTTGTGGGAAACTTAATCTTAATTTGGTTAAGTATGAACTCAGAATAAGTTACAGAATAATATATTTACGCATAATTTCTAAATTTTTCTTAAATAAAAAAATCTATTAAAACTACTTTTTTATTTCAAATCACGTATTATCTAGCAGTACTATAGCTGCATTTTAAAACAAGTTATCTGAAGTCTTACGATTGAATTGTAAATGAAGTGCTGAAAAACAAGTATATTAATTTTTTTTCTTTCTGTAAAGGAATAAATTTGGGTAGAAATGAAAGTTTTATTTTCTTCACATTTACTTGAAGAAGTTGTTCGTTGTGTTCATGGTATTAAAATTTCTATTCTATATAAATTCTGGCAATTTTCAATTAAAACGCAGTTTTTAATAGGAACTCTTAAATTATTTTAAGAATATGCTTCAAAAATATACAAATTTAATTTAGGAGAACTGTGTTCACACACACACAAAGCTATATAGCCTTGATAAAAAACCTAAAAGAGTGTTTGTGGTGTCTAATACAAAAGAAATAAATAAAACATACTTATTATTTGTAAATGGGCAGTAAATTTACTGTGAGCTTTACAGGAGGGTTTTACTTTGTATAAATAACAGAGAGAAAAAGACCATAAAATTTCGTGCAAATACCTATTTTAAAAGTAGACTTTTAAAAGGAAAGTAGCATTGTAATTTTGTCACATTTGTAACATTCTTTTAATAAGAAGTCACCATAAAATATTTGACATATTCCATAGATGTTTTGTTTTATGCATCAAATGGACAAATTCGGCACATTACATTCACTTATTTTATTTATTAAAATATTTGATTAGTAGCAAAATCTTACAAAATTTATTTTTTAGGTAATCCTAAGTAGGTTTCAAGTAATAACAGGATTTCGTTTTTTGAATTTTTTTCTGTCCGTTAAAACTTCTATAAAACTACACTAATAATATTAAATCTATAATTAATAGTTATTACCATCATTTTTACCGATTAGTATTAAATTAATTAACAGAGTATATTAAAGTATTTTAAACGGTGATAAATATATGAAGTAAATAGATTTAAGCACTGGCGTAGCTGGTTCTGACTGGGCCCGTATCTAAACTCCTTCGATACCCCTTTTTTAGAAATGAAAGCCTTGTTAGTGATACTGTAGTTACACATGTTGGGGCCCCGGTAGCTTGGGGACCCCGTATCATTGATACGGCTGATACGGTGGTAGCTACGCCCCTGGATTTAAGGTATCCGACTACGTTCGGAAAGTGGTTTTGAAAAAGTGTATAAATAAATAACTTTTTTATATGTTCATTGTAATTCAGGTGACACTAAAGACCAAAAAATGTATTCATTTATACGCATTTTCAAAATCATGGCTCCTAACGTAGTCGGATGACTTAAGGAAAGTTATTTTTATGAGATATTCAATACTTACAAATCCATCCATGTATACATTTCCTCAGAAATAGTATTCGATATAAAAGTAAAAAAACTTGACGGCGTAAAAAAGTTTAATTTTCATTTTGTTCAAACAATTTCTGTGTTCATATCTGTCCATTTAAAAAAAGTTTAACCTTAACATCTTTTATAACATAACTAATTATTTATTGCCCTTTAAACAAATATTGAAAGATTTTTAAGGCAATCAATCACAAAGTGTTTCGTAAAATGCATGCCCGTGTAAGTTGATCCAGGAAGTTTAATTTTTGACAAATCATCTTTTTTGCTCTACTATTACATTTTAAAACAATTTTTTAAAGCAATTAAACTTCAAAAGCATAAAACTTTTTTGATATGGTGCTTACTTTCAGAATACATTTGAGGCATCGTCTAAAATAAAAATTTTATTTCACTTTTTTTTTTTTGTTCTACTTCAATTTTTATGTATATGGTCTATGAAAATACATATTATTATACACTCAGAATTCAATGAAAAGTGTAGACAATGAATGGGAGGCTTATATATTCAATTAAATAAACGTCTTCCTTTTTCAATGAATATTAAAAGCAAGTACTAAAAAGTATTTTAGACCCAATTTTGTTAAGAAAAAAGTAGAACAGTGAATTTGTCGTATTCTTAAACGAAAAAAATAAGTTAATTATGCTTTTTAAAAATACATTAGATTTATTACAACTTATTTTGAGATTTCCCGTGTTATTCAACGTGTGCATTATTTTCTTAATATCATTATTCTACCCTTAAACCTAAATTTTTGTATGCAGGTACATTTTTGTAAAAGAGTACCAAGTATTAGTTTTATATATTATTAAGGTTGTCTAACGTAGGGAATATGATTTAAAATCGTACTATTTTTCCCCGAATAGTTACGATTTCTACGTTATTTTTTATCATATTTGACTTAATGTACTTTTCTTTTATATACTAACCTATCAGTTCTTTTTTTCTTTCTATGTTTGTTTCATATTTTACCTTCTTTGCTTTAAAACGAAATGAGTTGTTTTCAATAATATAGGCTTCAGAATGTTAAAAATGCAATATCAATAGTATATATATGTTGTAAACATGACATTTATATTTATATTAGAGCATTCTACTATTGATAAAAAAAAATTCCAAATTTGAATTTATAAGATCCTTTGAATCTTAAAGCTAGTCACTGAAGTTTTAAGACAAAATTTATGTTGCAGATATTATGGATATGTTTTAGAAAGAGATGCAGAGAAGAGAATTGTATCATTTGATCCTGGAAAGTACATAAGAAAAATTTTATTATTTGTATTAAGAAGTTTAAACTTTTTTGAACATTTTAAAATGGAAGCTCAATTAATTGATTTTATTCTACTGTATTTAATGGATTGGGGGAGGGAGTGTCTTAGAAATTAATCAAGTAAGTATTTTTAGAATAGGCATTTTTGTTGAATGCCAGACTAATGATTTGTTAAATATTAAAAAAAAAGAATCAAATATAACTATTTAATATAACAAATTAGAACCTGATTTTTTTTCAGTAATTAAAACCGACTTAATACCCTCTGATATGAATAATTTTTGCATTTAAGATAGGTAATGTATACCAACCCTTAAAACAACTTATTATTTTCAGTACTTATTTCTCAGATTCCTTCAA